AATGAAGCAAAGTCAGTCAGCTGAGACTTCTGAGGGGTAAAAATGCTTACATAACACTCAAAATTAATGTAGATCCTATTTGTAGAGTATCTAATTTAAAGCAGAGCTTTTGGGTTTCTTTTGCCACTGTGATGGTAAAAGTTTTCTCTGTGTAATATTTATCAGGCAGAGTTTGAAATTCAAAAGTTTCCTTTTCCCTTTGTACCAGCGGAGAAGGTATCAAGGCTTGAGCTTCGTGAATGTGCACTGTACACCACAAGACTAGTAATATCTTCAATAGGAGTAAAAAAAAATACATGTTTTAATTGTAACTGCTGTATGCTGCTGACCCTTTGAGGCTTTGCTGTGAGGTGCGGGTTGGGTTTAGGATATGGTATATGGAAACGTCAGATTGTGACCCACAGGATGAACGATGTAAGGGCCGGTAATGTTCAGGTTTCAGCTAGACCTGTTCTTTCAATATCATCACTTTATTTAAACGTGTCAAAAAAATGGCATCTGCCATGTGTCTGTTCAATTGATTAGTGGAGCAGACAATATTTGTATGTTTGCATTAGAGAGAACTTAGGGGGGAGGGATAGCGGTGTGGTTTGAGCACTGGCCTGCTAAACCCAGGACTGTGAGTTCAACCTCCTTTGCAGAGGCTGATCTGTTAATAAAATGCCATATGGCTTAGTCTGGAGAGGAAGTCAACTCTGTCCTAATCCTGGATCCCGCTCGTGTGTGTTACATCTGGGCAACTTGGATTTCTGAATTAAAAAACTAACAATAAAGGGGGCCATTTAGGGATGTGGGGCTAAAATTGGGAATTGGTCCTGCTTTGAGCAAGAGGTTGGACTAGATGATCTCCTGAGGTCCCTTCCAACCCTGATATTCTATGAACTCAAGAGCAAAACTCCCCCAGAAAGCACTTCCACTGTGTGTGAAACTTTTCCTGCCTTACGACTATCTCTTCTATGTATTCAACATGCACATGTCCAGGAGGCCTGTGGGGTAGCAAAGCACCAGCAAATCTTAATCCGCACTAACATGTAGAACTGGCCTGTGTGGACCCTGAGGACACTCACTAAAAGTTCCCTAGTTAATGTGGTACTGCTTGTACCAGGACTATGTTAACGTGCACTAGAGAACTTTTAGAATGTGCCAGCAGGGTCCATGCAGGCTAGTTAGCATGTGACATGCTGGCATGGCTAAAATTTATATCCCTCTGGTGCAGGCTAAAGCACCATGTAGAGAATCCCTAAGAAAGTTTGGAATTTGAACTTTTCTTGGAACAGACTTTATTTTCACTTAACGTTACTTGTTTGCTTCTATGGCTCTTTCCTTTTTCCTCCCTTCCTCCCTCTTCCCCCTCCCCCCCACCTCATTCTCCTTTTGTCTCAGAGTCTCATCACCCTGTATTGCCTTCTGCCAAGAAGTCACCAAGAGACTGGAATGACTCAAATAGTAATGACAAGTATTGATATCACAGATATAGGGCATGGTAGCACTGGGAGCATATCATTAATAGAGATGGAACCAAAACAAAGCAAAATTGGTCTGATCTGAATAGACACGTGCAGATATGTTGTCGTTTAGTCACCTGTGGCCTTACTTCAGTGGCCACCAAATTCTTCTCTTGATTTGGTGTCAGTCCAGTCAGGAAGATGGCCATATTGCAATTGACACCAGTTGGCAATCTCTGTGAAGGACTAAATAGAAAATGGAAACTGAATTAGTATCTTCTCATCCCAGGTCTTTTCCTCCAGATCATGGTGAGTCTCACAGGCCGGGGGGAAGGTGAGGGAAGTTTGTTCTCTGCCTATGTTACCTCCATCCTGTCGATAAACAGAAAACTGATCTCCAGTCAGGTGTTCCACACATTTTATCCATATCAAATTGATACAGTGAATATAAGCAGAACATTTATTTAAGCTTTAGATGTGAAGTACTGTATGAATGAATTTAAAAAAAAAAACTATAAACCCAAGTTGTTGTAAACTGACTCCAACAAGAACGTTCTTGACCTGCAAAATGGATGCATGTGTTCTTATATATAGTACTTTGAGTGTGCATATACTCTTTCCGGTTTTGCTAGGTGGTGTCATAATGCATTGTAACTTGTTTTATGGATGGTAATAAATTTGCTTTGCCAGAAATCAAAAGTTTCCTTTACAAGCAAGATAAAAAATCCTTGTGAGATAATTCATAGATATCCAATGTTGTGGGACAACTCTTTCCCTTAGGGCAATAAATCTAGTCTGGGGTGATACAAAGGAGAGCACGAGGCCTTATACGTTCAGGATTACTAATTATAGGGGAAGCCGTTAACAGCACCTATAGTTAGGCTAACTCTTTCCATTTATAAAACGTTACTCTTTTTTTATTAAACATTCTATCACCTCCATTGTTGCAGTAGATAGACCTTTGAAATTTGGCAGAGGAAAGCCGTGGGGCTAGAGAAGTGCCTTTTCTTTGTCCCTCGTAATTCCTTTCAAGTTTTGCTGAGCAATAAACTTTTGAAAATCACCATTTCCTTTCAGTTGCTTGCATTTCTTAGGAAACTTTTTGGCAGCCTGTCAGAATAATAACTGACCATGAACATTCTAAGGCTGGACACCTGCTGCCGCCGCCATCCAAAGCAGCAGCTGCAGATGCTGCACTGGAAATGTCCAGGAACTGCCAGAGCAGCTGTTGCATGGGAAAACCTGGGCCAGGTTACCCTAAACCAAAACCAGCACATGCCTTCAGTGACCCATCCCTCCATCTGGGGGCACCACATAGGGAAGTGGGGAGAGAGTAGTTGGGCCTAGCTCCCCCTGACCACTTAGCAACACATCCCTATCCGGGATAAGAGTGTTTTGTCTGACAGCTAATGTAGTTCAAGTGGTAGAAATCTGTGCTGAAGATTCATGGTTCAGATCTTTGCTTATGATGGTGCAGCACGATATGGTTCTACGTAAGAAAAAAATTTGTACCTTTTCCCTAGGAAATTACATACTAAAAACTATGTTAAAAGAACATTATTGAATGACTAGAGGTCAAGCACGTGGAATTTAGAAAATGCCAGATTTAAGGTTGCTTGTGCATCCTTAACTCTGTCACCTTCTGCCTATGTACTACAACACAGTCATTAATTACATGATCACATACTTTTTTTCCCAAAGGGTCACGCCTTTTCCAGTGCAGATGTTGGATGACTAAGGGGGGTAGAAATAACTTGGCCAAACTTAATGAACATGGTCAATCTTAAATCTAGCATTTCCTAGCTTTTGAGTATTTAACTTTGCAACCTAAACAATGTTTTATTTTTTGTATGTAGTATATGTATATTATGCCTAAATTACTTAAGATTATGATGTGTAAAATCTACTTGAAAAAATATAATTTGGGACATTTCAAACTAAAACATTGGTCTAGATTTTGATCTCTATTTATGCCATCCTAAAACTGGATTAACTACTGATTTCAGTGGACAGTGAGAGCAAAGGAGTTACTTGAGGTATACACTAGTGTTACTGACATCAGAATCTGGCACTGTATTTGCGAAACTTAGCAAAACCAGCACTCTAGTTTTTGTTAAGGCTGTACAGAATATTCCATGAGAAATTAAAGTTACTCAAAATATGCAGTATTTTTGATTACTGGGTGTGTTCACAAATATTCATACCTGGCAATATCGAAGTCTGTGAAAATACTGGGACAGTTTTTCATATCGTAGAGCGGGTTGAAAAATGTTTTTTATTTCCATTTAAAATACGGACCAATAATTCCCCCTATATTTGGGGTCAGAAGGAATTTTTCCCTGGGACAGATTGGCAGAGACCCTTGGGTTTTTTCACCTTCCTCTGCAGCATAGAGCACAGGTCACTTGCAGGTTTAAACTAGTGTAAATGGTGAATTCTCTGTAACTTGAAGTCTTTAACCCATGATTTGAGGACGTCGTAACTCAGCCAGAGGTTAGGGGCCTATTTCAGGAGTGGGTGGGTGAGGTTCTGTGGCTTGCAATGTGCCGGAGGTCAGACTAGATGATCACGATGGTCCCTTCTGACCTTATGAGTGACAGTGCAGCGAGAGAGAATGGTACTGCTGCTCCACACTGTGATTCCTGTGGGAGGTGGGCCCATATCTGAATAATGCAGTGCAATATGAAGTGTTTCTGCCATTGCTGGGAAGCAATCAGATAATGTCTGGATTAACTCCTTGAGTCTGGAGACCGTTGTGTGTGTGTGTGTGTGTGTGAGAGAGAGAGAGAGAGAGAGAGAGAGAATGATCTCATTGCACACGCTGAATTGTTTTTCATTTACGTGTCCAGAATGGCAGACCCTAAAGTTCTGTCTATTTAATATACTATGCTAGGGATGACAATGTGTTTGGTGCTGCGCAAAATAGAGAGGCTGTGCCCCAGATGTCTCGCAGCGTCAAAAGAGAGGCACAGAGAAGATAGAATGCACTGGGTGATTCAGAGGAGGAAATGTCTTGGATTTGTGTCCTTTTATTTGATTTAATGCTGCTGTTATTGACTTAGTTGTGCTGAGAATCATAGATGAAGAGCACGTCGACAGGAGGTCCTGGAATGTGGGAAAGGAAAGTGGCTTGGCAGATGGGATTGGGAGGGCATTCTGCATGGGGCAATGTGGAAAAGGGCTCGAGATGGGAGCAGAGTGGAGGGGTTCAAAGGTCCATTTCAGGATGTAGAACCGTGAAGGCTAGAACAAGAAATTTTGAACACGATGCCATGGACAAGGGGGAGCCATTGGAAGGGTTTAAAGAGGGGAGTTACATAGTCAGATCAATGGACAAAGAAGATCTTTTTAGCTGCTATATCTTGGATAGATAGATGATGGTTCACTTGACAGGTAAGTGGAAGATCAAGGAATAGAACCCCTGGCCCTATAGACTGGGCACACTGACTCCTTACAAAGAGAGCAGGCAGTTTTGTGGGTATCATTGCAAACAAACATAAATAACTCCACTCAGTCCATTGGCTAATAGAGCTGCTGTCCTGTTCCCCTGTGCAGGTGCAAGTTCTTCAGTCTCACAGAAACGCCAGAGGACTATACGATCATTGTGGATGAAGAGGGGTTTCTAGGTAAGTCGCAGCACCTGCTGCTTTCTACTCCAAGCTGGGGGCAGAGGGATGTGTGTTCACAGTTTTGTCATTCTCCTGGTCAGCCCATCAACCGAAATGTTCGTACAACGGTTCTGTTTGCAAATACCAGAAACAGTTATGAAAGATGCTTTGATCATTTAAGCAGCCTGTCTCCACTGCTCCACTATAAAAGACATTTCACGTATGGAATGTGAATAATTTGTAATTCAAGTTGCCAACTTAAAAAAAAAAAACCCGGCATATTAGAGAGCTTTTTTGAGGGGTGGGAGTGAACCAGAAAACCACCACATACAAAGTGGTGGTGGACTTCTGGAAATGCAGCACCCCCTCATGGTGTGACATGGCATTTCATCAGCTTTGCCCCACTCTCCTGCTCGGTTCTTCTGTTGTCTGCTACAGCGGTGGCTTGGCTCTGCAGCCAGGTCACATTCGAGTTCAATACCTTCACGGGTATCTGTGTCCCAGACAAATAATGTCTGACAAAACAGCAGGAATCAGCACAATGTCTTCCACCCTTCCTGGGCTCCTCTTCAATCTCACTCTTCTTCTAGAGCAGTGTCTCATAGGGCTCCTCCCAGGAGTAAGCCAAATGAAAATGCAAACTAAGCCAAATCTGCTCACCCCAGGCTCCAGCATTTACGGTAACCCTACCAAGTGTTTTGAGGTGAGCCCCCCAAGCATGGATCCACAGAGTTAGGCTAGCAGGGTTCGCACTAGTGCTGTAAAAACAGCTCTGTAGACAGCGCCCTGAAGTTGCAGCTCAGACTGGAACTCGGGCTCTGAAGATCACTCCCCTCCTTTTGGCTTTAGAGCCCAACCCACTATGTCAAATCACTGCGTACACAGCTATTTTGAGAGCACTAGTGTGAGCCCTGCCAGCCTCAGTCTGTCAACCTGGACTGAGAGGCTTGCTCCCTGTCAGGGTTCCTTCCCCACTCTGAACTCTAGGGTACAGATGTGGGGATCTGCATGAAAAACCCCCTCAGCTTATTTTTACCAGCTTAGGTTAAAACTTCCCCAAGGTACAAACTATTTTACCTTTTGCCCTTGGACTTTATTGCTGCCACCACCAAGCGTCTAACAAATATATAACAGGGAACGAGCCCGCTTGGAAACGTCTTTACCCTCCCAAATCCTCCCAAACCCTACACCCCCTTTCCTGGGGAAGGCTTGATAAAAATCCTCACCAATTTGCATAGGTGAACACAGACCCAAACCCTTGGATCTTAAGAACAATGAAAATGCAATCAGGTTCTTAAAAGAAGAATTTTAATAGAAGAAAAAGTAAAAGAATCACCTCTTGTAAAATCAGGAGGATAAATACCTTACAGGTAATCATATTCAAAACATAGAGAATCCCTCTAGGCAAAACCGTAAGTTACAAAAAGTCACAAAAACAGGAATATACATTCGATTTAGCACAACTTATTTTATCAGCCATTTAAACAAAACAGAATCTAACGCATATCTAACTAGATTGCTTATTAGCCCTTTACAGGAGTTCTGACCTGCATTCCTGCTCTGGTCCCGGCAAAAGCAACATACAGCAAGAACCTTTGTTTCTCCCCCCCTCCAGCTTTGAAAGTATCTTGTCTCCTCATTGGTCATTTTGCTCAGGTGCCAGCGAGGTTAGCCTAGCTTCTTAACCCTTTACAGGTGAAAGGCCAGGAGGGATTTTAAAGGTGTTTACCCTTCCCTTTATATTTATGACACTCCCGTTCACTCCAAAATGCTGTGTAGATGCGCCCTGTGTCCATATTAACTTCTCCCTCCACCTGGCTTCTCTCAGGCTCTTCCCACAGAGAGAAAGCTCCGGACCCAGCTCTCTTGGGACGACAACTCCCAACTTCACTGACTGGATTGCTTCCTTTGAACTCCTCTCTGAGCCTGAGGCACCCTGCAGGTGTAACAAGGCAGAGCTAACACAGCTCTCAGGCTCTCGTTAACCCCGGCTCGATTGATATGGGGTTTATACACCACATCACAGAAGACTACAGTTACCTGCATGTTACCCACTGAGGTCGTTCATCATCCGCTCCCCATGAGCATATCAGATCTTGCTCCTCCTTATTGCCCTGAGCCCCCAAATCAAAAGAAGTACTCAAAGATAAATATTTTATAACCTCCCCACCTATAAAAAGCCAAGAAATAGCTAGTTAACGGCTCGCTCAACCCTTGCAATCATAATGTCACCTTCTCCGTCTCTGCCACCCATGATACACACGCTACCTCCTGCCACACGAAATGTGCTGCCTTCCACTCTGACCATGTGCACGGGGCAGAAGTGGATGTTTTCTCACTGTTCGGAATGTTTCATCAACCCTGGGTTGCCAAAAGCGTGTTTGCGAGCTGTAGTTGTTTTAAGCGTGTGGTGCTGGACAGTTGCTTAATTGAGGGAATGGTTTGGCTTTGTAAGTGGAAATAGTTTGTAATGGTGTTTATCATTTTGAGATGTTTTTATTTGCAGCAGTGTTATTTAAGTGGTAGAAAGAGGAAGTGTAGCACTGCTATTATTATTTTTTAACAGCTGCTCTTTGCGGTTGCACTTAAAGGTTACTCATTTTGCAAGTTTTCAGACTAAATTCAGTCATTAAAGTGTGAAACAGGAGTTTATTTCTCTACAAAACTTATAACTATGGAGTTGCTACCAATGCCACCATAATATTTAGTAGTTTTTGTGAGTGCCTATGACTTAAGAATCAAAGCATTAGGAGGAAAAATTAAATTGCATGCCGTCATTATTAGTGATAGATTAATAATTTGTAGTAAATGATTATTTCAGTGAATTACACCCTTTTTATAAGAGCAGTCATGAATAGATCACAGTTTTCTTGATTGTATTCCTCTATTGTAAATTGTTGGTTTAAATAATTTCATTAAGTATTCCCTGGTCTGTAAAGTGTTCATGAGAGATTTGGTTTTGATGGAAGATGCAGGTCACATGCTACAGTTCTGTTCCCTGATAGGAAGAATGTAATGCCTATGTTTGTGTTTCTGGAGCAGATGTTCATTGGTACTGATTCAGAATGTGTTTCCTATGAATGTTCTGTAGTGTTTGTATTGTGGTGACCCCAACTGAGATTTGGCCCTCAGCAGAGTAGCATATAGTCCTTGTCCCTGAAAAACTTTAGTCTAATGGGAGAGACAGACCAAGGGTGAGGAGAGGAAGAGATGTGCTAAAGATCATCGAGCATGTCAATGTCGGAGCAAGGAAGAGAGCCCCGGTGTCCTGAGTCCCAGTCTAGAGCCATAATCACTAAACCATGCTGGGTTTCTAAATTTGTTGCAATCGATGACATGGCCATCGCCAGGGCTGCATATGTGGCATATGGGAATGGTTCTTTGGCCTTGTCTACACTGAGGATTTGCCCCAATTCCAGCCATTGGTGGCCACAGCCCAGGCGCTGTAATTGCACCAGTGCAACCCCTAGTCTAGGTAGGCAAAGTTTCCGTTTACACCAGTGAAAATTACCCTTGTTTGAAACTGGGGTAAAGTCAAAATAGCAGTTTTGCTTGTCTACAATAGGAGTTGCACTAGAGTAACTATACCAATGATGTAATCAGAGTAAATCCTCAGTCTAGACAGACCCTTGTCTTCAGGTAGGTTCATGAGTCAGTATTGCCCCAGGACACCTTGGTGAGTCAGACAGTGCCACCACATTCAAGTAGCAGTTCTTTCTGATTTGATGATTTGGACTTAATTTCCCCTTCTCAGGCATATTGCTCCTTTCCTGGTTTGCATACATGTGCATATCTGCCGATGACTGTCCTACTAACATTGCATCCTCTATAACATTTGGGGTTCAAGGACAATGGATTAAGTGGTGGTGGTATAAGGAGGATAATTATAATGACATTTTAGTCGAGACAATCTTGTATTTATCCATCCGTCCACACACACATTTTCTCTTTCTCTATATTTGAATATTTTGCCTGTGGCTAGTTTCTCCAAGCAAGTGGGTAACTGCATTCTGTATCAGCTATTACATCTAAATGGTATTTAAGGAGACTCATATTGCAATAATCCACAAAGCGTGACTCACTCCCCAGGCAAATTGCTGTGGATGCCTAACCAGTCGGAGACTGAGGGTATGTCTACACTACAGAATCAGGTCGAATTTATAGAAGTCGTTTTTTTAGAAATCGGTTTTATATATTCGAGTGTGTGTGTCCCCACAGAAAATGCTCTAAGTGCATTAACTCTGCGGAGCGCTTCCACAGTACCGAGCCAAGCGTTGACTTCCGGAGCGTTGCACTGTGGGTAGCTATCCCACAGTTCCCGCAGTCTCCGCTGCCCATTGGAATTCTGGGTTGAGATTCCAGTGCCTGATGAGGCTAAAACATTGTCGCGGGTGGTTCTGGGTACATGTCGTCAGGCCCCCGTTCCCTCCCTCCCTCCGTGAAAGCAAGGGCAGACAATCGTTTCACGCCTTTTTTCCTGAGTTACCCGTACAGACGCCATACCACGGCAAGCATGGAGCCCGCTCAGCTCACTGTCACCGTACGTCTCCTGGGTGCTGGCATACACGGTACTGCATTGCTACACAGCAGCAGCAACCCCTTGCTTTGTGGCAGCAGACGGTACAGTAGGACTGGTAGCCGTCATCGTCATGTCCGAGGTGCTCCTGGTCGCCTCTGTGAGGTCGATCAGGAGCGTCTGGGCAGACATGGGCACAGGGACTAAATTTGGAGTGACTTGATCAAGTCATTCTCTTTAGTCCTGCAGTCAGTCCTATTGAACCATCTTATGGTGGGCAGGCAGGTGATACTGATTGCTAGCAGTCCTCTTGTACCATCTTCTGCTGAGCAGCCATGAGATGTGGATGGCATGCAGTCCTTCTGCACCGTCTGCTGCCAGCCAAAGATGTAAAAGATAGAGTGGATCAAAACAAGAAATAGACCAGATTTGTTTTGTACTCATTTGCAACCCCCATCCCTCGTCTAGGGGACTCATTCCTCTAGGTCACACTGCAGTCACT